CGTTCGGGATCATTATGGAAATATTTGGGGAAGTTTTAAAAAATAAACTTGTCCTTTAAAGTTTTTGAAGGGGAGATAATAACTATAAGAGGACCCAAATGATTTCATTGGCAGAGATTTTCATCAATACTCATATAACCAAATGAATAAACATGTTATTTACAGTAAAAGGAGAAATGTTGGACTGCGCAAAAAAGGTTTTTAAGCTTTAAAACGTGTACCTAATTCAGAATTGGCATATAATATTTCGTTAAATTCATCCTTTCCTTTGGCTTTCAAATCGATTTATGGTCTCAACATAATATTTTAATAAAACTAAGACATTTCACATCTTTGTTAATACGGCCTTTTAACATACTCTACTATTTGTAAGTATCCAGAAAGTTATAATTTTGGTTCATTTGGATAAAGGATCAAAGATTCATTTCAATAAAGGATCAGTGGCTACACACGTGCAAATTTACGAAAAGTACGAACTTAATTTAATATCACAGAATGATTCAATCATCAATCATATCAATTTAAAAAATAGATACTGATATACAAACACTCCTGATACATGTATAATATTCATGTTAAACCAATCTTTATGTTGACAATTAGTAACAAATTTTAAAGTACACAATATCACGGTATGATTAGAAATTGGTTAGGAAATCGGTAAAACGTTTTCGTTTTTTTAGTTAAGAGCACAAATGATCGAAGATAACATGATTGCAAACTGGCAAAGTTACTAAATTGAATTCAACTACTAATAATAATTTAAGATTAATGCGCTTCTAAAACATTCGGAATAACAGTAGGACTAGAAGAGAGTTCGGTAATCTTTCAATTAGCTAATACAGTAAGCCACACAACGAACGTGTTTTTGCAAATCTCGCTAACGTGAATTTTAAAAACTTCAAACAAATTATATAGTACATATTGCACTCTTTAAATTAAACCAGTCAATTTCTAACCATTGAACAGACTCCTAACGTATTCTCTCCTGAGTCCACGCAGCGCGTGAACACGGCGCTGGAAGCGTGACAGCTGCACATTCTCGGAATTTCCTCCCCACCCTTCAACTACGTCTGTCTCACGAACGGATCTGCTGCGTGTTGAGGCGGAGGAATGGGGGCACCCAGACGCCCCATCATCCGTTCGCCCCCCCCCTCCCCTCCTAGCCACATTCACCCTCCTGCCGACCCACCCGTCCGTTCTCCCTCTTGTACGTCTGTCCGTCCGCCAGCTGCCCCATTAGTCTACCCACCAGCCCGTCCGTCTGTCTGCCCGTCCGTCCGTCTGTCCGTCCCTCACTCTGTCCGTCCACCAGTTCGTCTGCCCGTCTCACTGCTTATTTACCCTTCCATTAGCCCAACTGAGAACCTTTTATTTATTTCATCCGCCCACACATCAGCTTCAGTTCAGTGCATCTGCACTCGACGGTTAACTTTGCCATCTTCCTCGCTCTCTTCTATATTCTCCCCCCTCAGCAAAATTGTCGAATTTCTTTGCCCGTTCTTATTACAGTATAGTACACTCAACCGAACAATCGCTGCCTTCTAATCCTTCTAAACTACCCTCCCCCAACCTACATACCGCGTTATCCATGCAACAAATCACTGTCCTTTGCAACATCACATGCCCGAGTCTCTCCCCCTATACCAATTTTTTTCCGTTCTCCACGTCACAGTTACCAAACTGCCTTCATATCGCGTTTCTGATCACTTTACTACTCGTCCTTTTTACTTTCTCACTATCGCTGTTTTTTCTAGAATCCATTGTTTGTAGGTTCTTGATACCGAAAAATCGAATGACGGCAAAACGTCTGTTTTTCCGACTGCCTGTCGGTCAGTGAACAAAGCTAGCGGCTAGTTCAGTCGATTATCTCCAAATTCATATTTCGCAATAAATCTGGATGATGTCACTTCGTTAAAACCGATATTTTAATTTGAGGGATACTTTACATGAAGCCCCTGGGAGAGTTCCAATATTTTTAAAAAATAGTTCTATCATTTTCGATTAACCTTTGTTGTTGAAAAGTGTGAAGGACGTTTAAGAATGGTGTAGGACTCATTTTTTGCTAAAGATTCTGATTTTTCGATAATTACAAAAATTCAACACGTTTTTAGGCGTTTTCTCACAACTACAATTATGAATATAATTTTTTTCACTTAAAGAAATCTGGTAGAGATTTTTCGAAAATTTGAGCACTTTTGGCGTAATGTTGCATGAAAATACGAGCGAAAAAATACGTGCTGTTTTAGCACTAGTTTGAACACCACTAGTTGTATCTCGCTCTACCGCTTTCCCTGCTTGCTCGCAGTTGTGTTCGCAGTTGGCGTCGCGCCTACCCGCAATCCCTTCTAGCCGTCCGCCCAAATTTCCCTTCTCCCCGTTCGCCCACGAGTACCCCGGCCCCCCATTCGCCTGCATTCTCGCCCCCTCCCCCATCGGACTGCCCCCGTTCCCGCCGGACCACCGGTCGCCTGCCGTGTAAAGGCACTCGCGCTGCTAATGCCACGTAATTACCCTTAATCGGCGCGCGATACGTCCCGCAATGACCCCGGAAATATTTATGCGACTGCAGTTCTTTGAAATCGGGTTCCACGATTTATCAGCATTCCTCCTGCGAGCGCGACGCCCTATCGCACGTAATCCACCTAATCCACGCCCCATTTTTTTCGAAATCGATACGAGACACGTTCTTGGGTGGCACGTTGTGTGGGAAATGTTTCCAAAACATTTACAGTCGAAAATCGCATTATACGTAAGGATAAACAAATAAAATATGTTTCAAAAGCACGTTTTTCAACATGATTTTGAATGCACACTGGATTTTATTTTGTTTTACTCTCTCTAATACCATGTGAATGTGTATTTACAGAACAAATCTGACAGATGCAGTATTTAACGTTTTGTTAGTCCAATAAGCTCACTTGTTCATCGTGTTCTTTGTGATTTTTTTAAATAAACATCGGAGAGAACTAGTTGCTCTGACCAAAAAATACAGCTAAATTGTGGCACGTTTTAATTTTCCTTTGACCTGGCACGTCACTTTGTATGCGTTTCCTATCAAGGCTCAACCATGAAAGTGCAAAAGGCTACTCCCCGGAGATCTGATGGGAGATGACGGACAAACGGGGCGCAATGTGAGTGGAGAGTTGGGAGGGAAGGAGAGTGGAGAGTGGAGAGTGGGGAGGGGAGGGGAGGGGAGAAACTAACAAGAGCCTGGCCTCGGTTCTCCCCCTCCTGGTAACGTATTATGATAGATGGCCGGGCTGACTTTATCTGGATATCCGCCTCTTTCGCAGACCAGTCCCGGAGGCAGAAAGGTCAAGAGAGAGAGATATCTCGCGAGGTGGTCGCGACTTAGTAACCCCTCTGCACTTCTTTCGTGCTCAGGAATTTTCCTTTCATCCATTTTCGAGTCCTTCATCTAGATGTCACGTTGCTCAGGCTAAAAATATACGATTGTCTCTATGAAAGTACAAAATTAAGATGTATTACTTTTCCAATATTAGAGAAGGGTAGTGTATTATTTTACTTTTTCTTTCTACGTGCCAGTATAAAGAATGCTGACCAAACAATCTACTTTATTGGAAAACCTGATCCATCTTTTATGTGAGCTATTTGATAAAGAATGCAATACAAGATAATTATTCAATAACATTAATTTCTTCAAACAATAAAAGGACATTATCAATGTATACGAAAACAACTCATAAATTTGCGCAGTAAATATTTATGCAGTATTAAATCTTCAAGAAAAAGATCAATATTTTATTCTAATTCATTACTGTCAATTTCTATAAACAGATTTCATTTTTCTATTTTCTCACCTCTGAATCCCAAAAATACGAATAGAATACACAAACAATGGTATAAATTACGCATGTATAGCAATTTTGTCAACGAACTGCATTGGATAATCTCCTTATGAAATAAAATATTACAAGCAATATTTTATTCAGGTGTTTATATTTTACGTAATCGCACATAATAGTATCTGTGGTCAGTTTTTACTGAATATCATAAAGAAAATATAAAACGATGATTGATCATTTTAAAAAATCAAAACTTTTACTGCGACAGAGCTAGCAAATTAAAAATATAACCAGAGGAATAAAATTTAAAAATAATAATTGTTATATTATAAATGAATGTCTAGTAACAATAACTTTAAATTCGGATTTATCACGGAATATTGAACATTGTTTAATTAATCTTAAAAACACCAACCTAAATATTTGAAAAGAAACAAAATTATTTACATACACTTAACGCAGGCTTTACTCCATTACTCGCATTTTCTCTCATATATATTTATATTTAAAGTACACCAACTGGAGTTTATCGAGTTTTTTGGTAACCAAAATGTTTATTAATAATTCAATTTAATGTTATTCAATTTAATAAACAATTATTCATTTATTTATTATATTTCAATTACAGTAATCTCACTTCTTATTTTTTTGTAATATTTAATATTATGACAACTGAAAATTTTCTGATTGTACGAACTATCGACATTCATATACAAAAAAAATATTTAAAAAAACGACAAGTGGAAACGAACTGTATGTTCATTAGCAAAGGAATTAAAACACTGGATTTAGTCTAAAGTATCTAATAAGTATTATGTGTGTCTTACAAAGTTTGTAACTATTTTTCAATAAACGATAGGAAGTTGTTTCAATTTTTATTTATGTTCGTATATATCATTACGTTCATATGAAGTAATTTCAAAATAAATGATCAGGCAAAAGACCGCAACTTCCGAACTAATTTTCTGGAGTTTAGAAAATGCTGCATGCTCATTAGACAAAATCATTAACAATGAATCATCTTGACACCAAAATATTACAATACGTCGGTCATATTAAAATTTTAAGAACATTTATCTTTTTCGATGTAATTGCACGAATCCCTTCGAATTACAGGAGTGAAATGGATTACAAGAACAAAAAATCACTAGATTATATATCTGTGTACAATGATCAAGCAATACAAAATACCTGGTGCTGGTAATGACAAGTCCGGAGTTCGAATGTGCAATGGACACCTGAACCTGCAACAGAGCAATACAAAGGCGCACATTCATTGAAATCTCCGACTGCCTTTCGTATCTTAGCCCAGCTCCGAAGCGCGGCACGTCACCTGCAGAGAGAGGGGCTGTTCCTGCTCCACTTGTACTTCGCCCGTTTGATCGCACCCGCAGCCCGTTGTCAGCGCGCGGTGCATTGTGGGACCCGCCGCCGCAATGCAGATAATGGCGCGCGGCTGTTCGTCTGTTGCAAATACCGCACAGTGTTCGAACAGGTATTCCACTGCGACAAAAGTAAACAGAACCATGTATGTATCAGCCGCGGATCCAAGAGGAGGGGAATTAGACAAATTTCCCCTCCAGAAATGTTTCAATAACTATTTTTCAGTCTCGAAACTTTCAATCAAAAATATTTTCGCATAAACATTAAAGCGAATAAAATTGTATCGCAACCTGACCCGAGTTAAGCCTTCGTCATTCTACATAATTTGTAATATGAAACATTCGACCAAAACATTTTGAATAAAAAAATTCCCCTCCTAAAATTCGTCCCTGACTCTGCTCCTGTATGTATTTAGCAATTTAGGGTCGTATTAACCGGTCCGACTTTCGCCGGCTAGCGCGTGTTCCCAGGCATTGCCACTGGTTTTATTTATTGTCAACGGCTTGGGGTAAGAGAGGCAAGTGGCGAGCATGACGCCCTTCCATCATCGTACTCAGCTATTTGGCCTGTCTGAGCTGTATCGTAAGTCACAGAGTTACAGAATCTGAGATGATTTGTGTTAAGAAAAATACTGCTTCATTTTTGCTCTGGCCGGAATTCGAATTTCTCTAGGAATGTCCATCAGTGCTTAATGGCCTTCTCCTTGTCTCTCCTGCTTACTCGCCCCCTGAAATGTGTTGCAGTGCGAGTAAGTTAAATTGCTTTTATGTGAGATGAGAGAGTGGGCAAGGGTGAGAAAGGAAAGGTAGTGCACTATCCGTCTCCCGCTCGTGGGGTACATACCCCGACATTCGCCTGTTATTGATCTGACAGATCACTGAAAATATATTATTAGTGCGTCCGTCCGCTATAATTATCCTTTAGACTGCGACGGAATTCGAAATATCTATCTACCTAGAAAAAAGACCGTTAGGACTCAAACTTTGCGATCTGTCGGTTACAAACACTGCAATGGCAACGGTTGTTTTTACTGAGCCACTTCTACCGTTTGAAGTTTGTGTAATCAATCAAGTCCTCTATTTGTGATAAAGGTAATGTGTCGTACAATAATTTTAGTAATACAACTATTTACGAGAAAAATCAAATATTTACCGTTATTTTATCCACAAGAAATGACCATAAAAGTGAAGAAATAAGAAAGAGTTCATAGTGAACAATTATACTTAGCAATGCAAGAATATAGAACAAAGAGGTAGAAAACATGTGGTGGAAACAATGAGTGATAGCAGACTTCCCAAGCAGCTTTGGTTATACGCGCCGAGAGGAAGAAGAGACGTGGGAAGGCCACGAAAACGATGGAGAGAAACTGTGAGGACGGAACAGGCAATAGCCTAATCCACGAAGTGAAGAAGATATAGTTATCCCAGTTTACTAGCCGAAGGATTCGCTTCCCTTGATTCTTACAACGGAATATATCCGTGATTTTTAAAGCAAGTTTTTTTTCATAAAATGCGTCGGACGGACTCAAGGACATTTTATGTCAACTCGAGAGGCAAAGGTTCCAGTCTTGTCCGCAACTCAAAACTGTGTAGCGAAGCGCCACTTTCCGTGGGGAAGTGCGTCGGCCTCAGTCGAGTAACTCGTTCTCGGAATCTACATAATTACGAACGCGATTTGCCAAAATACTCTCCTTAAAAATCATGGACATTTTCCGTTCTAAGAATCAAGATAACAGAATCCTTTGGCTAGTGGACTGATGTACGTATAACGGAAAATATCGGATCATGTAAATAAGAAATACTTTCTCTTTAGATAGAAGTACTCATGCGCCACCTTTAATTTTATTATTACATACTGTTTATGTTCTTAACGGACGGAGGACATTTAAAATTATTAACGGATGCCGGCCATTAGAGAGTGGCTTTTCGTTCGCTTATTTTCGCTGCGGGATGTCGATATGACAGTACTAAAGTGTACCGATTTATAATATTCTACATCTTTGTTAATTGATGGGAGCCACTCCCGTTAAGATTCGCCAAAGAATGTTAGGATCATTTGTTGTCGGACAAACCAATTCAAAAAAAATATTCGGTATCCGAGAATGTACAACAATAACAACATTAAACAGTTCACAAAATAATTATTTTCTTCCATTTGCCTAATCAAAGATTTTTGTACAATATTCCAATAATAAGTAATAGCGTACATATTAACGCCACTGTTTTCCTGCGGGTCTTCACAACTTCCACAACAGACCAGTTATTATATCTGACGACAATATAATTATTTGTCTCGTAATTTTTAAGTACTGCTTTAATTCTTCCTTCTAGAGCTTATATCCATCCAGCAGCCGGTTATTCTTCACGTTCCGTTGGGACGTATATTCGACCACACACCAGAAACCAACACACGGGCTCTTGCGATCTGTGCTCAGCAGAACGCAAGGCATTCCGCGGCATCATATGCTACATGAGACAAGAGACAGTCATGTCCAAGACGGGACTAGAATCCGCGACCCATCGGTCCAAAGCGCCGTGCCGGCACACGCTTTTAGCCGCCTCGCCCAACCACACGGGCGATTCTTTGATTACACTGTCTAAAGATTCTAAAGAATATATAAAGACTTTCTTATTTTTCTTCCTATATCACAAACGTTGACGGTTTTTAGTAACCAACGTTCTCGGAACGAAAGGTCGTTTCAGGATGACCTCCTTATTTAATATTTTCTCTCCAGGAAGATGTCTTCAGCAGGAAGAGTACTTCTCTTATCAGTCCCCCACGCTTCGCGTATACGCTCTGAGAACGGTCGCTATACCATAGAAAAAGCTTTCTACTGCAATGCACACGATCTATTTCGCAAGGAAAAACTACTTAGTTTTCTTAAACTTTCGTAGACTTTTCTAGACTTGTTTTTGTGAAAATAAAAACAAAAAATGTTTCAAATAGTATTGAGTTGTTAAAGAGTGTTGTTGTCAACTGATCCACGTGAAAATGGATAGCAGATTTAAAAGAGAAACATTTTAGTTGATTGAGTAGATGATTTTAAACTAGCTGTGCTTGATGTAGAACATACTTTTTATTTTCAACAAAAAAAATTAATAATTTATCATCACGACGAGTTTTAACTTTAACTATTTGTTTTAAAGTTATTTCTAAAAAAAATACTCTGCACTTCCAGAAAGAAATATTATATTTCACAATTGAGAAGATAGGGTATTTACTTACAAAATACTATTGAATGTTTGATAAAATATACTTAATTAAATTACAAAAATATCATATTTTCGAGTACACAGTTTATATTGCTGTAAATTCCATTTTATTTAATTTTCGTTATATGATGCCTCAAATTTTATTTTAATTGCTGACATTGTTTTCTCTAAGTAAAGAAGGTATCAATGAATAAATAATGTTTTACAATATTTATAACTTTAGTTGTTTTATCAAATTGAAATATTGCCGTTATAAATAAAATGAAACACCCATCATGAATTTCCATGAATTTAATATGAATGTTTCTACATTCTTAAATTTTTTTGAAATGTACGTGAAATTTATAAGGAAGAGGAAACTCGTAATTTACTGTCCAAAACGATTATACTAACAATATTTTTTAAGACCCACGGAGAAGAGAAACGCGCAAGGGATAGATGGATTAATTATTTCGTGTCTCTGGCGCGTCAACTGCTATGGCCATTATTCCCGTAAGTGAGTCAATGGTTTTAACACCGGATGTGGCAGAGTTCCTCCCCCTGGATGGTGATATCCGGCTCCGAACTAACTGCACGTGAGCTTCTGATGTTTTCCCAACCAAGTACAACGGCCAACTAAGCTCCCGGCAGGTTTGCCGGTACGTGTGGTTGTGTGGTGATCAAATTGTGTGTGTGTGTGTGAACAAAAAATGAGGACAGAACAAGGAAGAGGAAGGAAAGATCACGCATGGTCCATAGCCCATTTGTTAGCATACCGCTCCGGCATTTGCTTGGTAATGATCGAAGAAACTACGTCAAACTACCGATCAGAGCAGCCGGCCTCTTGAATTCTCCACAAGAGAGTGACTGAATTCGATCTATCGAGCTAGAGATGAAAATCCTACCACCACTGAAATTCAAACCCAAGGACCGCTCGTTCAGAATCACTGCAGTGGCATCAATTGAAGCCCTGCGGCACCTCAGCCTCTCGCGCAAGGGAGATGTGTCCACGTGGAACCCCGCTTCGCCCCAGTGCTCCGGCGCAGCGCCTCCTCTCTCGGGGCGATCGCGCGCGCCCGCACGTGCGGTGCGGCGCCGTGCGGTGCGGCTGCGCGTGCGCCGGCCCGCACGCGCGCCACTTGTGGGAGAGACGCGGCCGTTTTTATGGATCGCGTATGGTTTGTAATTGCGCGCAGCGCCGGAAATTCACGGCCCAAAGGGTCGCGCTGTTGCTGATACAGGTTGCGCGAACGCGACCGCGCCCCGCCCGCTCATCCGGCCGGTCGCTCACGCAGAACGGCCCCGCCCACGCGCCCCTCCACGTGCTGCCTTGACTTCCCACCCTGCCCCGCGCCCATCAGCGGCAACGCCCCCCCGCAATGCCTCTACCCGCCGCAGCCCCTCCGCCCGCGCACTGTCCTCGACCCTGCCTCGCTCTCGCGCCTGCCCACTCCCCTCCCCGCTCGCCCCACCTCAGCTCCGCCCTTCCCGCCGTGCCCTGCCCCACCAGGTCTCACCACCCGCACCGCAGACTCCGCTACATCCGCCGTCGCAGGCCCCGCCCCGACCAGCCCCCCGCCCACCACATCTCGTCACACTCCGGCCTACCGCTGCGCCCCGCCCCGCTCGCGGCCGACCACTGGCACGCCGTCACGGCCCTCGCCACGCTCTGCACCCACTGCCCCGCCACGCCACGCCACGCCCCGCCCCC